GGATAATGGCCTCTAGGACTTGGGCTACTTATGATTATGTGGATGTAGATTGAGTCTGCGTAACGGGTTAAATGATTTGGAGACTAGAATATTTGACCGGGTGTTATAATGGGCTGTTTGGATTAATAATTGATTGTGTGTATGGATTAGGGTTTGCAGGAAGTAGCAGCAGTAACATAACAACTCGGATTTTTTTTCCCCGCGGATGAACAGTACCAGGGAACAGTTTTTTTTTTTTTTTGACAGATCGCAAAACTGAAATTCTGGGCGTAACAGTACCCGCAATGAACAGTATTTTTTTTTTTTTAACCTAGGAAGGAAAACTGCTATCTTCCAACAAATCCTTTTCGTTTCTGCTGTTCAACAAGTTTTGGGAAAAGGGAAAGAAGAAAATTTTGAATTATAAGAGAAAAATACCCAAGATTTAGTTCTGATACCAAATTTGATGTAGGGTGAATAATAAAGAAAGAGGAAGGAATGTGGAGGAGAAACAGAGAGAAGGGAGAAGAGGAAAAGAAACCAGGGAAAGAGAGGGGAGGGAGAAAACGGCTGCAAGCCACCAAAAAATACTTCAATTCTAAATCATCATCAACTGTCTCAAATGAGAAACAAAACAGAAATAAATAGCAGAACACAAACCCTAAAGAGAAGGGTTTGGGCCAAACCCACTAAACAAGCCCAATAACGAAAACATAAACAATAGTCCAAATAAAATATAACTAATAGTCCAAATAGAAAATAAATAATAAATGGATGTCCGCATCAGATTCAATCTTTATGGGAAGGTATGGTGCTATTTGGATGGTGAATATGGTAGACAGATTGAGAATGAGAAGTGAATTTGAGGACTGTGTCTTTAAATTCAACGAGTCTTTAAGAGCTTTCTTGGCACAACGACGTGTGAACCGTCGAGGTAGATATTTGATGATAGCACAATATGGAGAGAGGCGTCGGAAAGGAGTTGTCGTGATACCAGAAGGTGCAAATGGAGAGGGATGGGCGTCGGTCTCGTAGGTGTTTCAAGTAGTTGTTGACTCATTTGTTGCTAGGGATAAGGCCAAACGACAAATGGTGAATGAACGAAACAGACAAAGGATGACTTATGCAGAAATTACAGCAAACTCACAGATCTCGGAGCATGCCAACCAAAGGATGCTACAGCAAAAGGAAAGGACAAATAAAGTCGGTGATAACGAAGGTCATGACATTTGTTTGAGTAAGGCTGAAATAATGGCCCGTGCCCAGGAGTTGAAAGGAGCATTGGATGAATTACTTAGGCTGGTTGGAAGCGGGCCTGAAATGGACCCCATGAAATTGGTACGCTGTCACAAGTGTGGGGTTGAGTTGGATGAGGATCAAACCGGTGAAATACACGTATCGGGATTGACTCATGAGGAATTACAATCAATTACAGAACATGAAAAGCAGGGAAGAGATGAACATTGTGATTCTCAGGAGAGGATGGAAGCGGGGTATCATAAAAACGATGACGGGGTTGACTTTGTAGGGGTCAACCGGAATGAAGTAGACACGGGGATTGTAGTTGAACGAGAGGTGGAACCGCTGTCCAAGGAAGGGGAGTTTAGTATGGTGAACTTGGAGACATTGACAATGGACGCTGTGAAAGAAAACAACGCTACACATTCGACATCAAGGATTATGAACATCTATAATAGGAGAACAAAAGAAAATGATATGGGGACCGAAAAAGCTTTGGTATTGTAGGTAGATTGTGCCAAGAAACGAGAAAGCGACAGTAACATTATGCCAGTGGTGGAAGAGAAAGAACGGTCCTTTGATCATCTTGAGGGCTATCACGGTGAGGATACTTCAGAAGCTGATGTGTTAGTAGTTGGTCACCCACCTTCGAACTGGGTTCTACAAAAAATTCAGGAATTCAGTAAGTTGGTTGGCGTGTCATATGATGGGTATGAAAGTAGATTGTTACAATTATTCGAAGAGCTGGAGACTAATAGGGGACAAGATATCAGTACACATGGAAGTAAATTAAGAAGAAAGGGTGATCGCGAACTTAAGAGGCTCGAATGGTCAGTAAACTATGCTGGTAAGGGTGGCGAGTCCAAGAAAGGAACAATGGGGAGGGGTTACGGAGTGTTATAATGATGCCAAAACTCATTAGCTGGAACGTAAGAGGGCTCAATGAGGTTAGTAAAAGGCTTGGTGTTCGACATTTGCTAAGGGGATGGAGGGCAAATCTTGTTTGCCTACAAGAAACTAAGATGGAGTTTATCTCGAGGGCGGTGATTCGTAGTTTGGGGGGGGGGGAATCATGTAGGATATCAGTTTTTGGGATCATCAGGGGTTTCAGGAGGCGTGTTGGTGATGTGGGACACTAGAGTGCTTGAGATGAAGGAGGTGAGTATAGGGGTGTTCTCTATATCGATTTCTTTCAAAAATTGCGAGGATGGATTTCGGTGGATGTTCACAGGATTTTATGAGCCTAATTCTGATGACGGTAGAGTGGGCTTGTGGGATGAATTGGGGCTTGATGGAATCTTCCTACATGTATTGGGGGTGATTTCAATGTGATTTGATTTCTTTCGGAGAGGTCGAGTGGTGGGAGACTAGCTAGGGCAATGGAGGAGTTCTCAGATTTTATTAGGGAGAATTTGTTGGTAGATTTACCTATGATTGGGGGAGATTTTACTTGGTCATCTAATCGGGATCGACCCGTCTTGTCTCGTATTGATAGGTTCTTGATTTGTGGGGAGTGGGAGTCCAAATATTCAGATGTCACTCGGAGAAGATTGGGGAGGGTGTACTCGGATCATTTTCCTATTATGTTATCTGGGAATAGGAGGGGTGGTGGAAGAAGATCTTTCAGGTTTGAGAAGATGTGGTTGAAAGTAGAAGGTTTTAGGGAGCGAGTACAGACGTGGTGGTCATGAAGTTAGTGGGTCTCGCTGTTTTGTATTGGATCAGAAGCTAAAGGCGTTGAAAGGGGACTTAAAGAAATGGAATGAGGAAGTTGTGGGCAATGTTAACTGTAGTAAAAATCAGTGTCTGTTAGAGATAGAGGAGTTGGATAGGCGGGAGGAGAGTCAAGGGTTGGCTGGGGAGGAGAAGGAGAGACATAGAGTATTAAAGGAAGAGATGGAGAGGTTGGTGGAGATGGAGGAGATTACTTGGCGACAGAAATCTAGAGTTACTTGGTTGAAAGAGGGGGATAAATGCACTAAATTCTTCCACAAGGTCGCCAATTCTAATAGGAGGAACAACTCCATCATAGTTTTGGAGGTGGACGGGGTTACATATGAGGAACCACAAGAAATTGGAAGCCAACTGATGAATTTTTATCAGAACCTCTATCGGGAGCAATTTGAATGGAGGCCAGAATTGGAGGGATTGCACTTTTCTACTACGGAGGATGATGCCCGACGGATGGAGAGACTATTTGGGGAGGATGAAATTAAGGAGGTAGTGTTTAGCGTGAACGATGATAAGGCTCCGAGACCGGACGGTTTCTCGTTCTCATTCTACAAGGCGTGCTGGGATGTGGTTCGACCGGACATTGTGAATACTTTATCTTATTTTTTTGAACGTGCGAGATTCCAGAGAAGTTATGACGCTACATTTATTGTGCTCATCCCTAAGAAATCGGAAGCGACTGATATTAAGGACTTTCGCCCCATTAGCCTTGTCAGTGGGATGTATAAGATTATTGTGAAAGTCCTGGCAAACAGATTAAAGGAGGTGCTGGGAAAAGTAGTGTCCAAGTTTCAAAATACATTTGTAAAAGGGCGTCAGATTTTAGAGTCTATGCTTATAGCGAATGAATGCTTAGATTCAAGAATGCGTCTAAGGGCCCCAGGGATGCTTTGTAAGCTAGATATTCAAAAGGCTTTCGATCATGTAAATTGGGGATTCCTGTTGTATATGCTCAGGCGCTATGGCTTTGGGGATAAATAGTGTAAATGGATTCAATTCTGTATTTCTACTGTTTCATTCTCAGTTTTGGTCAACGGAACACCTGAGGGTTATTTCCGGAGCAGTAGAGGCTTGAGACAAGGGGATCCATTGTCCCAATTGTTATTTGTCATTGTGATGGATGCTTTCAGTAGGATGATTGAAAGAGCCGTGAGAGCGGGTTTGATAAGGGGTTTTATGGTTGACCAATTGCAAGTGTCCCATTTGTTATTTGCAGATGACACGTTGATCTTATGCGATACAGATGTTGAACAATTCAGGAACTTGTGCCGTCTGCTCCTATGCTTTGAAACGGTGTCTGGTTTGAAAATCAATTTTGGGAAGTCTGAAGCTATTCCAGTAGGGGAGGTCGATAATGTGGAGGAGCTGGCTAATATATTGGGTTGTAAGGTTGTGTAGCTGCCGATGTCATATCTAGGGCTCCCGTTAGGGGCACGATTTAAAAGTACCCATATCTGGAATGGTATTGTGGAAAGGATGGAGAGAAGGTTAGCACGGTGGAAGTGTATGTACCTTTCTAAGGAAGGCAGACTTACTCTTATTAAATCCACTCTCTCCAATCTCCCTACTTACTTTTTGTCATTGTTCCCCATTCCGATTGCAGTGGCAAAGAGATTAGAGAGACTTCAAAGAGAATTTCTGTGAACAGGGTTGGGGGAGAAGAGGAGACTCCATTTGGTCAATTGGGGAGTTGTTTGTTTGCCGATGAGGATGGGGGGTCTTGGGGTGAGGAGCCTTGTGTTGTTCAATAAGGCCTTATTAGGCAAGTGGTTGTGACGATTTGGAGTGGAGAGGAAAGCTTGTGGAGAGAAATAATTAAGGCGAATTATGGTGTGACGGAGGGGGGATGGTGTACATTTGAGGATCGTGGTTCTTATGGGGTGAGTTTGTGGAGGTATATCCGACGGGGATGGAGTGCTTTTTTGGACAAACTGAAGTTTGTGGTCGGAAATGGTAATGAGATTAGATTTTGGGATGATTGTTGGTGCGGAGATCAACCGCTGAAGGAGAGATTTCCTTCCTTGCATCGCATTGCCTCAGTGCCCACTGCTATGGTGAGTGATCTCTTAGACATTCATAATGGGAACTATAGGTGGAATATTACTTTTGGGAGGGATCTACAGAATTGGGAATTGGAAGATTATTCGCTGTTTATGACCTTTTTACATGAGGCACAAATTCGGGATGGAGAGAGGGATTGCATCAGGTGGAGGACAGCACGAAGCACGGGATGACATTTTTTTCATTTCGCTCGTACTTTGGTTCCCTCATGGGATGTGTGAATAATTTATTCCCCTAGAAGTTGGTGTGGCAGTGCAAATTGCCTCCTCGGGTGGCATTCTTATTGTGGACAGTTGTGAGGGGACAGGTCTCAACGGTGGATAATTTTCGACGTAAAGGCTTCTACGTACCCGAGTGGTGTTATATGTGCAAGAAGGATGGGGAGATGATCGATCATTTGTTCATTCATTGTGATTGTGTACGTTGAATTTGGAACAGTATACTTAGTTCTCAATCTATGAATTGGGTGATACCTCGTCGTATAAAGGACGTGATATGGGCATGGCGGAGAAAACATCGTGATAAGGATAGCAAACTAGCATGACACCTTATCCCGGGCTGCATTGTATAGTGCGTGTGAAGAGAAAGGAACAACCGTTGCTTCGAAGATCAAACAAAGACAAGAGAGCAGATAAGAGAAACATTTTACTTTACCTTATATTCTTGGTTTAATGCTGTGGTTAGAAATCTTGTAGATGGGTTGCCTAATTTCATGTTGTTCCTTAATGGCTTAAAGTGATTGTACACCCCCCATGTATTCTCTTTTAAGTAATAAAATTATCCGATTACCTATAAAAAATAAAAATAAAAAAATTGACTTAAGAGTATTTTAAGTGTGGTTTCTCTATGATCCTTATTAAATGTTTCCCCTTACTATGCCAGTAGGAAGTAGGAAATTAAGATTCTTCATGTATTGACCTATAAATTATAATTGAAAGGTGATATTAAATTGATTGAATCGTACTTCTTTTGCTTCAATCTCTTGATTATATTATCTATCCCCCCCCCCCCCCTCCAGAAAAAAAATTAATAATAAAAAAATAAAGTAAAATTGTAAAATCAAGTATAAAAGAGAAGATGTTAGACAACTCAATTTGTATGCGTGTGAATTATCTGATCAAATATATTTGTTGAAACTACAGAAAGGGATGGTCAATTACTTGACCCGCTGTCAACATCTATAATAACCATGCAATGGCATTAAAATTACATCCAGTGTATTACTGCGACCAAAATATGAAATTGCATAATACAATGCAATATCTCGAAAGCATGACCCAAAAACTATAGTATCTAATACAATCCACAACAATAACCTGACAGATCATTGTTCATGCACATCAACCATGGCAATTATGTTGGAGCTCCAACAACTAGCTATGTGATTTATGGAGCTCTAGGCTTGCCATTGCTCACCTGTAGTAAAGTGCAATAACTACGTGAGCTAATGCTCAGTAAGTAAAAAAGTATGCATAGTATGAATATGAGTGTAGAATGTCATGTTGTTTCATCTTTTCAGCTATCATGTTGAAAATACACCATTTTCAAATCATATTGCAAATATGAAGCTCAAAAGCATTCATGAAAATTACTCTTTTTCGAACCCTAATCATTCATGAAAATTACTGGTTAATACTTGTTGATCTCTTTTGTTTTCAATATTTGATTTTGGAGTTGAAGTACAATAACCATTATTTGTTGTTTTATGTGCCATATGCACTAGTAATGGGATCCAGACAATGGCCACTTCTAAGGCTTGATATCTATGGGTCTATCAGAGTTGATGGCCAAAGTTGTCATAAGCCAACCCGGAACAGTAATGGTACGCTCATAGGTGGACTTGGTGGAGGTTCTGGTGGCACTATTCTTCTTTTTCTTCAAGGACTTGCACTTGCAGAGGGTTCCTCTTTATCTGTTGCTGGAGGCTATGGTGGTCCACTGGGTGGTGGCGGTGGTGGTGGCGGAAGAATTCATTTTCATTGGTCTAAGATAGCCATTGGAGATGAATATGTACCTCTTGCTTTCGTAGATGGTATGATGAACAATAGGTATGCCTGCTTTCATGGTACTTTGCTTTACATTAATCTTGATTATTTGCTCTGATCTTTAAACTTTCCCCTATGAATAAGTATCCGGAATCTGAATATAATATTTTTCTCATATTATAATTAGAAGATATTATAATTAGAAACTAACTTTTGCAATAATATAAGAAAACATTGAAGCATTTTGTGTAAGAAAAATTCATATAGCAGCATCTTACATGCTTGCCCTGCCTAACAGTGGAGGTGCCGGGAGTGGAGATGGTCTTCATGGAGAGAAGGGGACAATTACGGGAAAGAAGTGCCCCAAAGGCCTGTATGGTACATTCTGTACGGTATGTTCTGCGTTCTTCCTATCTTTTAGTGTACCTTCTGGTGATTTGTGCTTCAGGTCCTACAAGGAGAACGGGAAAAGAAATAAAAGAAAAGCAAAACATTTCTGGGCGTAGAAGAATTTTTTATTTTTTTGGCCTACACTTTATTCAATAAAAAACATTGTAAGATGATTAGCTGGAACATGACCATGTCTTGTTGCATTTCTAGTTCTTTCCCTAACAAGAACTCTCTGTTTTATCATTTCACTTTTCCTTTATTTCAAATTAACTAAACAAGCTAACCTTCACATAAAAATGATCAAGTGAAATTCCACGCATGCATAGCTACTGAAAGGTGAAATCTAAATATGTGACACTGTTCCATATCAAGGGATGAGATGGATTCTTATTTATTCATCTTAAACTGCCTTTTTATGGGATGCTTGTTTCTTTTTCTTGTTGCCTTTAGAACTCACTCATGCATGCATGCAACACTCATGTAATGTATTCCTAACCAAAAATATTTGATAAGCTTATACAGATTGAGCCATATACATATCAAACTGGCATCACATTATGGAATTAGTGACAGAACAAATTTATTCAATGCATCGGCTTGAAGTATTACTTATTTAACTGGATACATATGATATTATTTTGGCTGATAATTGAGTGCATGTTGCATTATTTACAGTTGACAATATTTTGATTTTTTGACATTGGATTTTAATTGTCCGTCCATGGACTACATTAAAGGAATGCCCTGTTGGAACCTACAAAGATGTTGAAGGATCTGATCCAAATCTTTGCACAGCTTGTTCCCTTGAGCGCCTTCCTAATCGTGCTAATTTTATATATGTACGAGGTAATAGTAATTGATCTGAATTAAATGTTTCCATGAGCATTTTGAAATTCTCTTTACGACTAAGAATTAGTTATTCTTCCCTGATTTCACCCATGGGACTCAATTGCTGTAGGCGGAGTCACCTGCTCATCATGTCCCTATAAATGTATATCTGACAAATACAGAACGCCGAAGTGCTTTACACCTTTTGAGGAGCTTATATATATGTTTGGAGGTCCCTGGTTTTTTGCATTTTTATTGTTGGGTGTTATTGTGCTCCTTGCTCTGGTACTAAATACTCTTAGAATCAAATTGATTGGATCGGGACGCTCTTATCATAGAGAAGATTCAGTTGATCATCATGAAAATCACCGTTTTCCTTCTCTGCTTTCCTTATCAGAGGTGAGCATCTTCCCAAGTATGCACGCTCATTGTTAACTGTTGCATGATCAAAATACCATATGGATTAACACTGAATTGGATTGCTCCTGCTTAAATCTCCAGGTTCGGGGTGCAAGAGCAGAAGAAACTCAGAACCACGTTCACAGGATGTACTTTATGGGTCCCAATACATTTAGAGAACCCTGGCACCTTTCTTACTCACCTCCCCATGCGATAGTTGAGATAGTGTAAGAATTTACAATTGATAGTGAATATTTTCTAAAGTACGGTTCAAATGACCCCTGTAAGGTGAAAATCCTATATTTTTCAGCCTGTTGTGAATCTGTTGTTATTTTCTTGGTTTATTCAAGACTAGTAAATATCAGTATGTTCCTGATGCTTGGTCCCATTATATTACTCTAATTTTTGCCTAATTAATCCACATATTGCAAAATTCTCCTTTATATGGTTCTCTCTTAGTTTTCAGAGGTCTGCAATATTTCCTGAAGTTTGCATACGTGTTTATCTTGAGAACTTGAGATGGCCACATTATGTTTAAGTTGTCAATCAAATTTTAATAATATATCAATATCTCTGGGTTGAATCTTATTCCCTTTTCTGCATAATTCTTTAATGAGTTGCATTGTATTATGAACTGCAGATATGAAGATGCTTTTAACAGATTTATCGATGAGATAAACTCTGTCGCTGCATACGAATGGTGGGAAGGGTCAGTGCATAGAATACTTTCAGTGCTTGCATATCCTTTTTCATGGTCCTGGAAACAATGGCGTAGGAGAAATAAACTTCATCGCCTTCAGGAGTTTGTCAAGTCTGAATATGACCATTCTTGTCTTCGCTCTTGTCGATCACGTGCTCTATACAAAGGAATGAAGGTTAGCTTAATTTGATTATGGTGGAGTTGTGATGACTCTTACAGAATGCACTCCTTTTGTGTTCCTGTTATTGGATTTTTTATCCATGCAATTAGACCTTGCCAATTTTTTTTAAAAATGGAAACATGACTTAGCGTCTGTTTAGTGTTTAAAAATTTGACACTTGAGAAATAAGCTGCAGTTGTTCTGGATTTGCTATTATTTGATTCTGCAACATTCTTTGAGACTTTGTTGTTCTGCTAACTGCTGACAGAATTAAAACAATTTAACAAAATTCTATTGTTTATTGATTTTTTATTATTTTTTTTATTTTTTTATGACAAACAAGGAATAAATGGTGGAGAACATGAGAGGATTTGATAAATCATATACTATAATACAAGTCTAGGAGGATTTGTTTGGAAAGTAAGAAGCCCCTATGACATCTTTTCATCTGCAAATAATTCTCAATGTAAAAACTTAGTCAGGGGATGATCTTCTGATTCGATTTTGTTCTACTTGATCCCTCTTTCTCTCTCATGGCCACATATTTATCCGACTAAGGAATGGGAAATTTTTTTCCAGTTCAATTTTAATTTCAAAAAGCCTATACATAAAATTATTTGGAAGAGTAAGCGATATGTGACAGCAGTAAAGGAAATTCCTTACGGAAATCTCGTCTGGAGCCTGCAATTTAGAGCATGTTTGGCTAAGCTTAAACATCTTTTTAGTTTAGCCAAACATGGTCCTGGTAATTTACTTAATCGTATATAGTGACACCAAGTGAACCTAAAGCACGTTCGACAAATTTTTTTACTTTAATTTGTCATATAGACCCCGTTTGTACCCATTTTTTTCAAAATGCATTTTTCTCTCTCTTCTTTTCAACCACACATTCTTTATTAAGATAATATTACACATAAATAAAAAACTTTTTCTTATTTTTCAACCACATATTTTCCATCAATTTACTATTCAAAAATGCATTTTTACATAAAAATGTCTTCCAAACACCCTCATAATATAAGAAGTCGTTGCAGGTTGGGGCAACACCGGATTTGATGGTTGCTTATATTGAGTTCTTTCTTGGTGGTGATGAGAAACGCTTAGACATGGTAACAAGTATACAGAAGAGGTTTCCTATGCGAATTGTTTTTGGTGGGGACGGAAGTTATATGTCACCATATAATCTGCATAGCGACGCATTATTGACAAATCTCCTTGCCCAGGTTACTTGCAAGTCTAACTTTAGATATTATAGCGTAAAAACTGGTTAGTCACTCAACTAATGGCAATGTTCCATGTTAGTCCCCTAACTTTGATTTGTTCCAAATAAATCGCTGAATTTTGCTTTATATTTAGTTTGGTCACTCAGATAAAATCCATTAGTTTTCTTAATGGAACATCAGATGTGTATGATGGCAATCTGACGTGGCATTAACTTGTTCTGCTAAAGAACTACTGGATTTAACTGAATGACCAAACTGAAATAAAATGCAAACTTCAATGACTAATTTGGAAAAGAAATAAAGCTTGGCCTGACACGAAACTTATTAAATATTGAGTGGCTACAATTGTTTTTTACCCTATATAATGCTTATTGGGGGGAGAGTCATATTTTTTCTTTGTGAAGGGCTACATGCCAAAAATTAATATTTACCTAAACAAAACATAATGATTAGTATGAATTATCTTTTAATATAGGAAAGATTTTTTTTTATTTCAGCATGTACCTGCAACTGTCTGGAATCGATTGGTAGCTGGTTTAAATGCCCAGTTGAGGACTGTGAGGCAAGGGTCAATTCGCTCAGCTCTGGTTCCTGTTATCAATTGGATTGTAACTCATGGAAACCCCCAACTTGATTTCCATGGCGTCAGAATTGAGCTGGGGTGGTTCCAAGCGACAGCTAGTGGGTACTATCAGTTAGGAATTTTGGTAGTGGCTGGTGACTGTACTCTTCAAGATCTCCACCATTCTGAATATTTGGATAGTGATGCACCATCTAGGTAATATAATGATTACATATCAAGTGTCATGTTTGCAAATATTACTGAAGTATAACAATAAAAATAAAAGTTTTTTTTTTTTTTTTTTATTATTATTTTTTTTTTTATCCTCCCCCCCCCCTACTGGTGGCATCAATGGTGGTTTGATAGATGAATCTACCTTGAAATTATTGGGCTACAGAAGGGACTATCTCTTCCCATTTTCTCTGTTATTGCACAATACTCGCTCTGTTGGTCGACAGGTAATCAAGAATTCTCTTTGACACACTTTCTAGAATAATGTTTCATCATTTAATCTTTTACTGTTGTGTTTCAGGAAACCATACAGCTTTTTATCACTATCATGCTTTTGGCAGACCTCTTTGTCACTCTTCTCATGCTGTTCTTGTTCTATTGGATATCCCTTGGTGCTTTCCTAGCCGTGCTTCTTATCCTTCCTCTGTCATTGCTTTCAACCTTTCTAGCAGGCTTGAATGCCTTATTCAGTAATGGGCCTCGAAGAGCTGCACTTGCTCGTATTTATGCTTTATGGAATGTTAGCTCCATATCGAACATCGTAAGTAGACACTTCAACGTGCTGTGTATTCTTGGTATGCAGAATTGGACAAGATTAGACAACATAATACACAAGATTCTGCTTCTTTTCTTTAATAGTGTCTAGTCCTATCCTCCCCTACCAAGCATGCGTACAATGATGAGAAAGTATAGAAACTGCATTTGTAAAATCAAGTGAAATTGGCAATGAAATTCTTAAAACACTAGCTAATATACCTAGTCCATTTCTTGTGGAGCCTGGTTGACCTTTCTATTTTACCTTTCTTGTTCCTAAGCAAATTTTCGTTTTAATTATTTTTCTAAAATAGAAATTATCTGAATGCATACTATTAGGTTTGGGTGTTTAATAAAAATCAATATAAATTATCTTATGAATCTGCAGACCAATCGTTTGTAGTGTAAGTTAAGATTTTATAGCTATATTAACCTAAAATATTTTTTACATCGTTGAAGATAACTGTTATCCTCAATGACTAATGCTTGGCTTGTTTCGTCTATTAAATTTGTTGATTTTTGCAGGCTGTGGCATTTTTATGTGGTTTAATTCACAACGGAATTTCCTCCTCGAAGCAGCCTGGAGAGATCAACATTTGGAACTTGATAAAGTGAGTTGCACTTTCTTATAAAACACAATTCTGAGGGCAGATGAGTTTTGAACTTCTTGAGTTCACAATGTACAACACTAATAATCATGTTTATTTATTATTGGGATTTTTGCTGAACAGAAACCACAAGGACCCTAACTAAAGATATTATGCTTGTTTAAAATGAGAAAATAAACTGCAGAAATAGATATTGGTTGGATTATCTTGTGTCAAGAAACAGAACGAAGAGTAGACTAGATTTCATAAGGTGAATTTTGGTGGCATTTTAGTATGATTCTGTATTGCATGTGCTGACAATGATATTTTTAATATTCTACTTTTATAGTGTTCAATATTAGGCAGTAAAGTATGAAATTGGATTAGGCAAGAAATTCATAAGTTCCTCAGAACTAATATAGTAGAACAGCCCCACGACGGGTTTCTTCAAACCTATCTAAGTTAGAAAACTCGGTCGACTTAAACTTCCTAACAGCCCCCAAGGATATTGGAAACCAGGGCTCAGGCTCTGTAGTTTTTGTGGTAGATTATTGAGGGTTAAATTTCTTGTAATGGCAGGGAGGACGAGAGATGGTGGCTTTTGCCCACCATCCTACTACTTTTCAAGGCAGTTCAAGCTCGGTTTGTCGATTGGCACATAGCGAATTTAGAAGTCAGAGATTTTTCTCTCTTCAGTCCCGACCCTGATACCTTTTGGGCCTACGAATCTGTTTCTTGATGCAAAACTGTTTGCCGGAGGAAGTTGACTGGATTTTTCAGCATCTGTGCAGTGAATAGGGTAACACCATGTACATACATCTCAGAGTACATATATGTTCCCATATGTGCATAGTTTAGAGAAATTTATGATTGGGTGAATAATTTAAAGGCAGGTAGATAGATTACAAGTTTGGTGACTGAAGCTTACTATAGATTCTAATCATTCCAATAATGAAATGTTGCCATTCTTTCTTATGTTAATTTCATTTCCTTTTTTTTATTGGCCAATTTGAGATTATTTGTTGGGAAAATTGCAGTAATGATTCTCAATGTATTGCTTGACTAGCAAGATGGTCACAGAGGCATTCTGGTGCGTAACTTTTCATTATAGTTGCACAACCATCCCTAACAATAGAAAAACGTTTAAATTACAATGGGGGGAACCTGTGATCCAGTTGAGGCATAACCCGCGATTTACCTCCTCCAAAGTTCTAGGGGCAAGGGTCTTGGGGGTCCAGGATTTAGTCTGGTGTAAGCTGAGATACCTAGATATCAAAAAAAAAAAAAAAAAGCGTTTAAATTTATGTTAAATTTTCAAATGCTTATGACATTGTAAAGTGAATCATGCTACATTCATGTCCAAGGGCCGGGTTTGTCAATCTTGTTTTAGAATGAAGAAATTATTTGTGGGATTTGTTCGGATAATTTTTTAGAAGTATTTTGTTTGATTAAAAAGTTATGAAAATAAGCTAGCTCAGTGTGACAATCTCAAGAAGTTTATTTACATGTTTCGTTTATTAATTTGTATAATGTTAACTCTAAAATTTCTAAAACGTTGGTTACAATGTTGACTTGTAGCACTTTCAGGAGTTTGTCTGCATGCATCTTGTGTGGCTTGAAGATGTTAATAGCTTGTTTGGAAAGGTGAATTGTATAATTTTGAAGGTGTTAAAGAAGTTAAAACTTTTGTTTATTATATTTTGCAATCTCGTCCAGCATTGTTTAACCAAACTTTCATTGTACGTTAAATTAGCACTTGACAACATGAAAATAATGTTGGACACTTGATCATATTTGCTTGTTATTATATGAACATTTCACTAGATGAAAGTTTTCATAAACACTCTTGTGCACGTTTGGCTAAATCGAAAAAGAGAAGGTAAAGTTACTTCTTGAGTAATTTTTATCTTAAATATATTTAAATAATTGACTTTTTTTTCTTTTCAATTAAAAAAGCTTACCATGATCGAAAACTAGAACTTACGTCGTTGTCAAAATAAGGTAACTTATTTATTTCTAGTTTCACTAATTAAAATTTATTTATTTCTAAAGCTTTTTTTTTTTTTTTTTACATAATCGTTAAAAGTAAACTTATGTTTGGCTAAACTTAATTTTTACGTTAGTTATTTATTTGAAAGTATCAAATGCCTTCAGTTAAAATAAGTATTTTTATTGATAACAAAAAAAATTACTTAAAAGAAAGTTATAAAGAAATTTAAAATTATAAAAGTTAAAAATTGATTCAATTTGAATAAATTTTAGTATACGTGTTCATATATGCATTACATTTGTATTCAAAATTATACAAAGAATTAAAAGTTAAATTTATACAGTAAGAACTTGAATCAATTATTATTATTATTATTATTTAAATAAAAAAACTCAATTTTGTCAAAGTATATCTAGATATAATCGTTTGAACAAAAAGAGAAAAAAAAATTTAACTTTTAAGTTAAAACTTGCTCTTATTAAGAAAAAAACTTTGAATCTAACATAAATATAAAAGATAAAATGAAAAATATTTATTTTTACTGATACGAAAAAGAAAAGTGGAGAACTTAAAAGGATTTGTTCGCTTTTTTTTATTTTTTATATTTGCTTTAATTTTGGTGGCTTATCTATTTCTTTTTTTCTTTCTCACATCCACTAAATTAAAGATACTATTCTTCTTGGTTTGAGAAAGATTCAACCAACTCAATTTTGTAGCTTGTGAAAGATTCAATCTTTTTCTTCTTTCCATATTGCCTTTGTCCAACCATTCATTTTCTCTAGATAACAAGTTTTCCAATTTTGCGATCGTGGTCAGTCTCGACAAATTCAACATGTTATACACTTGGAGAGGTTCGACGCAACTTGGTTCAAAATTCAAGACTTACAATTTTCGACCATTCAATTCAAATTTATCAATGTAAAAAATGATGTCCAATATAACCCACTACTTAAAACATGTATTATTTATTATCGAAAGACTACTGAGGTCAATTTTTTTTTCTTTTTTATTTCTAAATAAATTTACTAAAACGGCATATATATTTTTTTTGGAAAAACATTAGTGTCTCATGGTCTTAAGGAGCCTTGCGAATCATGACTCGTCTCTCTAGACAAGCCAACTCATGCACCATCTAACTCGACCCTGTCGAGCCAATCAAGAGTTAAGATAACCTTGTGTCTAGACAATCTAACACACTTTTACACATCTGATTAGGTGATCATGACTCCTAAATTTTCCAAATAACGAAAAATAGTAAAAGGAAAAGGAAAGAAATTGTCTCTTAACAAATTTAAATCATTTTGAGAGAGCACCAAGCATGGTTCATTATCTAAGCAAGAGGATCGACGGTCAAATACATAAACATTTTAAAATTTAAAAAATGTGTCATATTTCACCTTGACTAAATTATTAAAAATTATAAATTTATCAATTCATAACTAATAGTGATCCATTTGTGTTAACATAATTTTATGTGTAGACAGACTTTAATCAGTCAATATTTGAAGGCAGATTAAGTGTCAAAAAAGCAACAAACCAGATCCCCAAAATTTGCTTTCATCCCACATTAAGATTTGCTTCTCAATTCTTCCAAAATATATTTTTAAAATAAATTATCCCCCGTTTGACCCCATTCTTTCCAAATTTTAATGGTTAGAATAATATTTTTTTGAAAAATATGTGGTAGAAAAAGAATGAATTTTTTTTATTTACATGTAATATTATTTTATGGAAGATTGTGCGGTTGAAAATAAAAGTGAGAATGAGAATGAGAACGGGGGCATATATTTGTTCTCGGAGTTAATTTTAGCGTGACATTTTATCGACTGCAACATAAGTAGTTAATCTAAGAGATGGACCATCCACTCAATTGAGTCAAGTTATTTTTAAAACGAGACAATAATCTTGACTTTTTTGCTTTGTATTTATTTTCTTTTGAGAGAAACGAGGAATATTCTTCCATGAAATGCATGCAGTATGAAAAATAACCTAGTAGTTATACTTTTTTCATTGTCATATTTAATTAAGACATTTTTGTTGCATCTTATATCTAACCTTTAATTAATTAGTACATCATGTTTCTAATGAAAATTCCTTTGTTAGCGTGACAAATATTTATCATACTTTTGTATTTACTGTGCTTTGTTTATTTGAAAATACGAGGACAGATAAGCTTTTTCATGCACTCCCGACTTTTTGGACTAAAACTATCATTAAGAAACAAATTGTGCTAATCAATTGATAGTTAAGTATATGAATGAGAGAAAAATAAAATGTAGTGCACCAAACAAAAATTGTGACGCAAATAAATTCCTCAACTAGAAAATCAATTTTAGGTATCAAGTCAAAGAAAGATAGCTATTTAAATATTATATGATTTTTTGTTTTTTATTTTAGAAATTGAAAACACGTGCTTAGAATTTTGAAAATTTCTCTTTGGTTTTATGCTATTCCATATTCTAAAATATAAGGGTTTGAATCTTCAAAAACGGGTAATATTATGCTTTTTTCAAAAGCTAAAATGGACTTGCACCTTTCATCATATCATTTCATAGAGAAGCAATTATTATGCCAAAAAAATCCCAAAAAAAATATAATAAAATAAATTGAAATTAATTGGACCCAATGAAAATTATATTTATTATGTTGTCCAACAAGGTGGATCCAATTGACATTTACTTGTGAGTAAATTTTACATATATTGAATGGATAAAAATAAAAATAAATAATTTACTTACTTTGAAACTAACCTTTTATTTACTAATAAAAAATTTTAAATAAGTGACCATGAATATAGGTAGAACAGTTCTGCTAGGGGTACGTCACCCCATATCTAAGGGTGTCCATTATGGACATCCGGTACCTCGTCTAACACACACAGGGGCCCACAGGTGAGGCGCCGGATGTCCATCTGTCCATGATGAACACCCTTAGATACAATGTGAGGTACCTTTAGCATTTTTGTAGGTAGAATTGGCCATTGTACCACACACAAAATAGGCAAATCCCAAAAGCTAATGAGGACGGTAAAGATGAACTCACTTTCTACGCACCCATCAACAGCAATCGCCCCCACACCCACCCTAGTCTTATTTTATTTGTTTTCCTTTATTTTCTCCCTCCCTCCCTCTCTCTCTCTCTCTCTCTCTCTCTCTCTCTCTCTCTCTCTCTCTCTCTCTCTCTTTTTTTTTTTTTTCTCTCTCTCTCTCTATTTTTTTTTTTCAAAAGAAAATTAATTGAAATTACTTTATTATAATGGAATTTGATTTCCGCTCCAAATAATAATTTTAAGAGGAAATGGAAGACGTAACGTTTATAATATATCGGTAATTATTAATGGTAAATAAAGTTGTACTTCTTCAATTTATTTAAATTTGATGTGTAATAGAAGAAAAACAATGTGATCGTGTGGCTTTCCCAAACTCGACCTCAGGAATCACATAGAATGCACGAGGAGAAAAATTGAAGAACGTGAGAGAGAGATGATGCAACATGTTGAGATGAGACGGGATAGGCAAGAAATAGAATATAACATAAGCAGGATGCAAATTATTTTCAGTAAAGCTCAACAAAAAAATCTGTTTTATATATAAAAAAAATTATGAAAATAAATATTCCATTAGAAAACGAGTGTTTTAAGAAATTGAGAATAAATTATGCAGATAAAGCAACAAAAGTCAGAGAAATGCGAGGCTAATCACAGTAAAGCCAAACGCCGCCCTTAAAGAATAATTGGTGCTTCATCAATATGTATCTTGCACGCTCAATTCAGAGCATTAACAAAGAAAGGCAATCAACCCACAAACTACTTAAAGAAAGTTAGGTGAAAAAAAAGTGAAACATCGCACCAGAAGCAAAGATAAACATTGCTGGCCGTCGTCTTCTTGGTATTAGTGGCCACCTTCTGCTACTGTATCATTCATTTATTTTTCTTTCCCTCAAAATTCATTCACCCGAAAAGGTAGAAAAATTTGCTTCTCTCTTTATATCTAATTCATTGGTTTTCCAGATTTTATTCATATGTATCTCCAATTCTTTTTCTATCCCCCTTTGTCGTAAAATAAATGGCTGTTCAAGCTCAATACCCATCAAATTTTCTTATCAGTAGCGACGCACAACAAGGCGACGAGCAACCATCTCAATCTGAAGGGCAATTTCTTGATAATACACCCATGTTTTTCGATGGGACTGATAATCCACAGAAGAGAAGTAAAGTATTCGATACTGGCCTTCACTTATCCTTTGGAATCCAATCTGTTGATTCGTTTCCAATTATGGATCAAAACTTTAGTCAATATGTTAAACAACAGTGCAATGAACTCCAGTATCTCCTCCAAGCACAGGTAAAATGGTGTATTAATCCATTCATGTGTATTTAAATAAGAATCAGGATATTCAGATGTTCATAAAGTTATTAGTACTAATACAGGGGGAGCAATTGAGGCGCAAGTTAGCTGAAAAAAGGAAGAGACACTACACTGCGCTTCTCCAGGCAGCGGAGGACTCGGCGGCGCAAAGGCTGAGCGAGAAAGAGGCAGAACTAGAGAAGGGGGCCGGGCTAAACTCCGACCTCGAAGCGCGGGCGGCGCAGCTAAATGCTGAAGTGAAAACGTGGCAGGCTAGGGCGAGGGAGCAGGAGGTCACGGCGGCGATGCTACAGGCGCAGCTGCAGCAGGCTATGAAGGGGCACCAGGTACGGATGGATGCACGGAAGGAGCTGGGTAATGTGGACGATGCAGAGTCTGCGTACATTGACCCGGACCGAGTTGTTGAGTTGACTGGGCCGAGTTGCAAAGGGTGCCGGCGGCGGTACGCCTCGGTGGTGGTGTTCCCGTGTCGGCATTTCTGTCTGTGTAGAGAGTGTGACAGTATAGCCCAAATTTGCCCGATTTGCTACTCGTACAGAAGTTCAAGCGTCGAGGCCTTCCTTTCCTAAAAGCCCGAAGCCCATTAAGGACATCTACAAATATTTAAAATTATAAATTAAAAAAGAAAAAAAAAAAAGAAAGAAAGAAAATGAGAAAACATGAAGAACAAATAAGTGTTTTTCATCTATTTTTTTAAAATATTTTCCTTTTTTGTACATAGTCATAATTAATTTTCTAATATTGTATCTCCTTAGTATTGGGTTGGACGTAGCATGAAGCTAATGCGCATATGAGTACATGACCTCATTTTGTGTCAAATTTTCAACCCACTAAAATGATGTTGAATTAGTTGCGTGTTCTAAAAGGCGTGTTCTTATGATAATATCATTTTAAACTCTAATATTATTTAATAATTAAAAATAATACCTACCAAACATTTAAAATAGATATATATGAACTTTATACATTTTTTTTAAAGTTTTCAAGAAAAAGAGAAATTTCAATGTAAATACTAAATGGTCAATAAATAGAAATTTTCTAGAGTTTTCTTTTGTTCAAAGTTTCAAACGGCTATTTTGAATTTAGAGCACACGAAGTGAAAAAATCAATCTTTAAATTTTAACTTAAAAAAATTGTTAAAAAAAATTAGAAAAGAAAAGAAAGATAACCGCGCCTAGGAGCGCATTACGGTCAACGAGGCGCGTAGCACTAAAATTTCATTTAGAAACTACAGGTCCGTTTGATTGCAAAAATAGAATTAAATTGAAAACGAATTCCAGGAAATTGAATTGCCCAGAAATTATTTTCTTGAAAATTGTAAATTATTGTGTTTGATTGGAATAATTTTTCATGTGGAAAATGTTGAAATAAAAGTGTTTTTGATCTCCGTTTGACTTTGTTTTATATGAAAATTGTCAATTAAAGGGATAGATTTTACTGGTATTATGGATGAAATTTGTTTCTATTGCCAACAAAAAAAAATCAAGAAAATTATCTATCTTTTGGTGTTCGTTTGGCTTTGCTTTACATGAAAATTGTCATTTAAAGGAAAATAGTTTTTTACAATAATTCTTAGAATTTATTTCCATTGCCAACAAAAAAAAATTGAAAAAAAAAATGTTACAGTAACCGAAAATTTCAATTCTCACCATTTTGGTGAGAATTGGAATTCAAGGAAAACCAAGAAAAATCCGGAGTTCAAGACAACCAAGAAAGAGAATTCCATGAAAAAAAATCCTATCAAACATGACAAAAAGTGGAAGTTGGAATGGAATTCATGGAATTCGGATGCCTATCAAACGGACTCTACATTTTAATGCATTTATTTTGAAGGTTTCACATAGCTTTAATTCTTCCTCTTTCAAAATAATTTTTATTTTCTTGTTAAGAATAGATGAAACGCATTTTGCATTTGTTAAAAAGGAGAACTGGCATGCAATGCAAAGACACGGGAAACAATTATCAAAGAATATGGTAGGCATAGTTAGGAAAGGTTAGTACTATCAAGTATCAACCATGTTTTGCACTTATGCGGTTACATCGTGACGAAAATCTGAATCATAAAATCATCGCAATACATTGATAATTGAATGAAAAATTGCCACTTCCCTCACAATGATCAAGTTTCAACCACATATTTTACAAACAAATTGTCTCAAATTTGTACACAAGGTCCGTGCAATATCAAATCTAGATCAAAAGAATTAGAACTCAATTTTGCCTATATATCACCCCAACAATTGACCCTCAATTCCACTGCCTAAATTCCTTCCCAACCCGAAGAAACTCAGCCACTGGAACCAAAATAAGACAAGAAACATTCACAAAGATGGCGGAAGGATTCCAAAGAAAATCGCACAAAGCAGTAGGCAACCGTTGATCTAAACATGATCCAAGGGCTATAATCTCTCAAGTCATTGAGCAACACTAAAAAGTATCATTTTTACACTTGGGTCAGATCAATGTGTCAAAGTTGGTGTGAAATGTTCGGGCCTATAAATTCTTCAATTATGTAGTTCGAATACCCTGAAGTCCAACTGACGTACCTCGTCACCCTAAGGTTGTTCATCAACAAAAATATACTCATAATTTAATTTTAGGAATTTGAAAAATTAAGGGTGCAGTTGGTTTGCCATTTTCGGGCCATTTTCCATTTTCCCTTTTCGAAAACGCGAAAAATGCCTTTTTATCATTTTGAGCGTTCTCGGTTATAAATTGTCAAAATGCTCAAAATGCAAAAAACAGGCCGTTTTCGAGGAAAATTAAAAATCGTTTCGAAAATGAAAATGCAAACCAACTGCTACCTAAATTTTTCTAGAATAAATTTCTAACCTCTAACCTCGATGACATGACAACGTTAGATTTGATCGCAATATCTAAAGATATGCAAATCCAAGTGTTTCTTTCACATCCACTATGTTCATATTGGATTTTTGCATGCAAGTTGTAGGATCAGATTTTCATATGATACAGTTGAGTGTCAAAAAAAGTAGAAGGAAGACCAAAACACAAAGGAAACATTAATTATTTTTTTAAACACAATTGTGATCACATCCACACAACGTTGTCAAATAAAAAGTTTGTGGAGTGTGAGTTATAAATGCTTTTTCCCTTACCCACTAAGTTAAAACATTTCGGCGAAGGCATCTAATTGTCTTGTCTTATTTTCAACGCCAAACACCCATTTAATTAAGGTACAAGGACAACTCATTTGCAATATTCATAAAAATAATCAAGAAATTTCAATGAGAGTTGGTGCAGATTTTTTCGAGTTGAGATATGTTGTCTACTAATGAATGATTGATGCATCATTTTATATTAAAGTGTCATATAATTTTAAGCAGGAGTGATGGTAAAAGAAAAGCTGAATATATTAATTTAAATTAATGTATCAATAATTGATTGAGTAGACAAAAGTTGGATAGCAAATTTTGGACAGGAAATCTCGACTTAATTTTTCCATATCTATCAGAGATAAATTCGATGGGGTCTGATTAAATAAATTTAAGTGAATTTTGAAAACGGAAGCATCAGATAAATTATCTAGTTTATCAATCTCAAATGAGTAGAAAAGATACTTTATTCTATTCTACAGTTCGGTTTGACCTCATTTTCTTAAGTTATTTTTTTTCGAACTCATTCTCAACTACACATTTCATCAAATTCAAATGTTTAACCTTGCGTTTCATCAAAATCTACTAAAATTTTAATTTTTAGCTAAATCTAATAAAGGCTTAAACTCAAGACGGCATGGTTCATGTAATAACAGTGCATGTAAAAGACTTGGATTTGAGTCTCTGTGTACATGTCGAACTTCTAATGAAAAATTGAGTTATACTTGGACGTGAGGTAGCCTATTGAAGTTAAAATATAAATAAATAATTATTTATGGTAAAAATTCGCATACCTACTTGTGCTAACCCCAGAAGATATCCTTGAAATTATGGGCTCAAGAGTGAGTTGGCTTCTGAAATTTAGATAGTTTGGCCCAAACAAAAATTGGTAACAAGACAGCATAAAAATGGGCCACAGCTTTATATACCTTTCTGGTCGAGGTCCACTCTACCTACTTTCTTTTTCATAGTTTGCTTCTAACTTGAGATTTGAAAGGTATTACGTAAAGCGGGAATTGACAATATAAAAAATAAGAACAGAAACTCAAGATCTACGTGGGGAAAAAAAACATGATCGAGGAATGAGAAATCCAATATATCAAATATGAGTACAGAAGCTACAGCTACTCCAAATATATATAATACAATAAAAAGGTTTACAAAAGGGGCACCAAGAGCTTTCTAGGAGGGCCTAACGAAATTCAGATAGCCATAATCTAACAAAAGATTTATATCAAAAAACTTCCGACGTATTATCTAATAGTTTGGTTGTAAGCGTAGGTATATAGTCTCAGTTGGAAAAAAAGGAATGATACTTAACATATCGAAAATGGAGAAAAAGTACCAAGGTAAAAAATTCGTACGTAGTTTGGCAAACCACAAATGAACACACGATGGAAGATTTTCCTGGTTGAGAAAACCTCAAAATACAACGTTCTCCTCACTCTCTCACTTTTGCCTATACAATTAAAATGATCAACGTACAATGCATGTAAGCTCATACTCTCATATATCCGTCGTAAATGCGTTATGTAATAAGAAAAGTTATGAGCAATTGCATATTAAATTCCTAATCCTGATTACATTGTCAATCATTCTTCGGATTACATAAGGTGGCCTCAATTTTTATTTTATTATTATTATTATTATTATTATTATTATTATTTTGAATGACAATATGAGTCGTCTTTCTTAGAGCATTTCCAATACTAATTATAAATTACCGTCTATGCGGCATTCAAGTAGGGGGGACTAGTAGTTTACGTAACATAAATATCTAAAAATAGATGATAAATCACAAAATTGATATCCAATGAGTTCTATTTACAAATTTATATCCTGCATGGTGTCCTTTATCAATAATAAATTAAAAATAAATGAAATTATAAAAGGATAAGAGAAAATTTTAATACTCTAAAAATAGAAATATAATCTATAATTTTATCCACGTTTTCCCCCCTTTAATGGCTTAAACAATTGTAGAATCAACATGTATAACAGAGTCTCAACGTCAGGATGGAGCTCTGGACAATATTTTTTTGTGTGTCACTTTATCTTGACAAAGTCCCAATCAAATTGTATTGATGATTATTTTTCAAATATTGTCTATTTCTACTTATGTAGTAATTTTTTCTTAATTGAATTGGTGTATCTTAATTTGCATCATTGGTTCTCCATTTAACTAATATAATACTTTCTTGAATAAGATATATCAAAACAAATCTCAATCCAATTAATTTGTATGGCGTCAATTAAACAATTTGTAAAGTAGACCTAAGAGTTTGGATCATTGTTCTCTCAATGACTATCTTTTAATGATTAATTTAAATATTCATGACTCCTATTTAACGAGGCAAACACTGTTCACACGATTTTGGTTATACTACTATTAACCAAGGAAAATAAAAGCAAATAAACACAATTGAACATGGTGGTTAAATTGTAGCGACTCACGATTTCACTATTGTTATTCCATTTAATCTCGTCTCTCAAGTTCTATCCCTAAAGTTGTAATTGATCAAATTCATTAATTTATTCAATTTACTTCTCTCGAGTTCAAATCAATTTTATGTGATTGAGTCAAAAAAATTATATCCATATGTGAATAAGAATTGATCTCAACTAAACTTATTAAATCACCTAAGAAATGAAATGAAAGACTAGAACTATAATCAAAGCATATCTCTACCTTTTATTCAGTTGCCTGATTTTACAACACTGTG